TTGCAGGTGTGGAGGCCGGCAGCTCCGTCGTCTCAACGGGATAGAACACATGGCCGAGACCTTTGATCATCTCGTCTAGACGCTGATCTTCGGCCCAGTGGCGGAGGTTGGCTTCGACAGGCAGTGCGTGCTGCCATTTGTTGCTTTTGTAACGGATGACAAGCTCCTTAAGACTTGGGTAATCGGCTTTCAAGCTACGAGTATGATCGGTGGAAGTCAAGTAGGGCATCCAAAGACGCGTATCTTGGGCTCTCACGTGCAGGTTCAAGAAGGTCAATGTTGCGATCGGCGAGGCAATGGCGCGGACAAACATGTTGGCGTCGCTCGGGTGCGCGAAGGAGAGTCTGTTGGAAGTGTACAGCACGTTTACGGCCTCCGCGTAGACCAACTTGCAGGTCCGCAGGAGTTGGGGTGCCATGTACGCAGGCGCGGCGTCGGGCATGTTCGGCCACTCGACATTCTCGCCTCCGTGCGAGGTCAGACAGAACAGGTAGATACGGTCCCTGATCTCTCGCGGCAATGAGAAGATGCGACTCTTGGCGACGCTGTCCGGCAGCTCGCTGATGTCCTCCAGCCTCCGCGTTCGCGTCATCTCAAGCCCGTATTCCGAACCCTCGTCCATGGTGTTTTGTCTGGTGGGCGCGCGGAAAGCGTGGGCGGCGCTACCGTGTCGTGAATGTGTGTGCAGAGATGAATTGGGAGGGTGACCGGGAGATGCAAGATCGGGTTGGCTAATGTAGGAGAGAGTGCGAGTGGAGAGGACGGACTCGCGCCATGTGTATGGGTCTGTGGGTACGATGGCAGGAGGGCGGTGGCTGGCCATGAGAGCTACCTCTGTAAAGATGATACGTGTATGTATCTGGGTCAAGTGATGGAGACCATGGATGTATGGAATAAGATACGACCGCAGAGTGCTTCTTCTGCGTGCTTGAGCACACGCCGTTCCGTGAGGTCGGTTCAGCTATAGACAGGGCTCCTCGTCAAGTCGGACGTCGGCGTCGGCTGGGCGTGCTGCCTTGGCGATGAGGGAGTGGAAGTGGAAGTCACTACCTAGTGACTAGGTAGGTACCTGCACGTGTACTGTGAGTGAGGTGTTCTATTCCTAATCTCGATGCTATTGTGGTAGGACCCATGGCATTTATCTTGATCGCCATGGACTCTACACTTGGATCAGGAGAGCCTCGTCATGATTGACAGGAATCAATGATCCTTTCCGTTGCCGGATGAGAGACATGTTTGAGAAGGCTGATGAGCGGTTGACACTTTGATCGGAACGTTGCAGCATACTGTAATCACAGTCTTTGAAAGAACAACAACGACGAGCTTCTGATACTAGGATACTGATCATTAGGTACTGTATACAAATGGACATCTCCAAGCGAGATGCATTACCTGTAGATTAGATCACTAAGTAGGTACACTACAGTATCTAAGCGCCCGTGGCCCCTTTGAAAGTGACATCATTGGCGTTTTTTGAAGACGGCACGGAGAAAGTTCAGGCCAATCAGGCCAAGAGCGTATAGAGAACGGCACATGAGATAGCCCGACCAAGGGACCGACAACAAACCGCGCCTGCACCAACGTTACAACCCACTTCACTTCCACTCTCCCTTCATACCTTGTACCTACCAACACATCTTCCTCAC